TTATATTTATATTTTATTTATATTTTGATTTCTGGCAGACTAAACAAAGTACAAAGAGAAAACACAAGATTTTACCCACACTGTGCATTTTTGTGGTCTGTGAAAATAACTAAAATTGTACTTAGATGCTCTGGACTTTTTAAAATTTGGTCTACCCAGCAGACAAGTGAAATTGCAAATTTAACACAAAGCACGGGCATCCAAATTACAGCACTCAAAATCCTCCAAACCCCAGAAGTTCTAATGCCTATTTTACTTCACCGATTCATTCTAGTGTTGGAAATACTGGGTCATTTCTACACAGCATAAATTCCAAAGTCTACTTCCTAGGTATCTCTGAAAAACATTCAAGGGCCTTGAGGAAGTCCCCTCAAATCTCCCACTATGTAGCCTGAAAGCTACTTACAACCAGCCACAGAAAAACATAAGCACTGAATAAAATGTGCACGTGCATAAAACACAATTACACATAGAATTGTTAATAAAACAGTATTTTGCTTTATTAAGGAAAAAAGCACGTGTGGCCCTATCACAGAAATAGGGAATGAAAATAAAGTACATCTTACTTGATCTGCCAGTTTGCAAATACATGAGTTGCACTATCTCTGCAAGCATACAGCTCTACAAAAATCCTAAAAGGACAACATTCCTTCACTTCTTAAGCAGTATAAGTATATAGATACAGACTTGCTACATAATCAAAGTATGGAGGCAGACTCAAGGATGCTCATTAATTCTCATGTTCTGTATAAAAATACTTCTCTGGTAGAGGGGCTTCCATGGTAACTTTATGAGACAGGACTAAAAGGATCAGAACCTGAAGCGCACAAAAGGAGGCTTCCTCACACACAAGAGCTCATCTCTCAAAATTAAAACCTTCTTTCTCCTTACGTAACTTAGTACCTAAGGAAACTATAAGGCCTCTCTTCCTCCAGTCACAGAAAAAAGATGCAGTTCATTAGCATTTTTTCTTTTATTTTCCAATCAGCTGGGCCTGGGAATATTTTCAGGAACAAGTCCTCCTTTCCGTTAAGTTTTTACCATGGGAAAGAGGCAAGACAGAGTAATGGAAACAGATAAACAAGCATTACAGCTGACGACAAAGGTAAGAACTCTCCAACTGGCACTTACTTTCAAATGTTCTTTCATGCCCAACTTGTTCTCAGGAAAACTAGAAATTCCTAAGTTTCTCACAGAGTACTTGGCCTTTGCTAACTATTACAATGAACAATGTTCCTCAAGACTGCAACACACTACCTTTGTATAAAAGCTCTATAACCAAGATATAACCTGCTCTAAATACACTTGCATCCAAATGGTAAGCATTGATTCAGCTCCAAAATAAGAAGTTCCTTCTGAAGTCACTGCCTAAAAGTAATGCACAAAATGACTACCAAGAAATTTCTTATCAATGGAACAGGGATATGTTAAAATAAGACTATGTAAACTAACACAGTACCACCTAACCATGGAACTACTGAAAATAAAATTATCACTTACCCAAGTCTGTAAGACGTTTAGGTGACCTGCTTGAAAATCGTTCCGATGACCTTGACCTACGACGATCAGGTGATCTGCTGTATCTTCTTCTCCCTGAAGATCTTGATCGCCGTAGTCGAACTGGTGACCTACTAGAGCTCCGTCTTCTTCCTCTTGATCTTGATCGCCTTTGACGAATAGGTGTTCGACTCCTGCTCCGTAATCTGAGTGATATTCTACGATCTCTTGAATCTGATCTTCTTCTTCTTCTGTCAGTAGATCTTGATCTATTTCTCTGAGATCTCTTACGCCTGTCTCTTGATAAAGAACGCCGTCTTCTCGATGCTGACCTTGACCTACTCCTCCTTCGATGCCTTGAACGTGACAATGAACTAGACCGAGAGCGACGATTAGATTTTGATCTTGATGCTCTTCTCCGTGTTACTGATCTGGAGCGATTCCGTCTAGAGCGAGATTCTGTATCATATCTCTGGGACCTGCGCTGAGAAGACCTGGAGCGTCTGCTTCTAGACCGCCGTGAAGATTCTTTGTCTACTGTTTTTTCAACAGATTTGGATCGACTCCTTTGGCGAGCAGTGGACCTGGAGCGTCTACGTCTTGACCTCCGTAAAGACTCTTTGTCTGCTGCTTTTTCAACAGATGTCGATCTACTCCTTTGGCGAGCAGTGGACCTGGACCGTCTACGTCTAGACCGCCGTGAAGACTCTTTGTCTGCTGTTTTTTCAACAGATGTGGATCTACTCTTCTGGCGAGCAGTAGACCTGGAACGTCTACGTCTAGATTTCCGTGAAGATTCTTTGTCTGCTGCTTTTTCAATAGATGTGGATCGACTCTTTTGGCGAGTAAGAGATTTTGAGCGTCTGCTTATGGATCTTCGTGAAGACTCCTTGTCAGATATTTTATCAACAGATTTGGATCTAGATTTTTCACGTTCAGAAGACTCAGAACGCCTACTTTCAGGTTCCTGTTCCTCCAATCTCTCCAGAGGCATGCAATCATGTTTGTCTTCATCTGCCAAAGAGGCCTCCACATCCTCACCTTCTTCACCAGTGGTAGACCTTGACTCATGCTCATCTGATGATGTGGAGTCTCTTCGTTCAGCTGTCAAGGAGGGCTCCACATCATCTACTTCTTCACCAGTGGTAGACCTTGACTCATGCTCATCTGATGATGTGGAGTCTCTTCGTTCAGCTGTCAAGGAGGGCTCCACATCATCTACTTCTTCACCAGTGGTAGACCTCGATTCACGCCCATCAGGGGATGTGGAACGTCTGTGTTCAGTTGTCAAAGAGGGTTCCATATCCTCTACTTCTTCACCGGTGGTAGACCTTGACTCATGCTCGTCTGATGATGTGGAATCTCTTCGTTCAGCTGTCAAGGAGGGTTCCATATCCTCCATATCTTCACCAGTGGTAGATCTCGACTCATGTTCATCTGAGGATGTGGAGTGTCTACGTTCAGTTGTCAAAGAGAGCTCCCGGTCCTCTGCTTCTTCACCAGTGGTTGACCTTGACTCACGTCCATCAGGAGACATGGAGCGTCTATGTTCAGCTGTCGAAGGTTCCAAATCTTCTATTTCTTCACCAGTTGTAGACCTTGACTCATGGTCATCAGAGGACGTGGAGTGTCTACGTTCAACTGTCAAGGAGGGCTCCCCATCTTCTATATCTTCACCAGTGGTAGACCTTGACTCACGCTCATCAGAGGATGTGGAGTCTCTTCGTTCAGCTGTCAAGGAGGGTTCTGCATCCTCCACCTCTTCCCCAGTGGTAGACCGTGACTCATGCTCATCAGAAGACACGGAGCATCTACGTTCCGTTGTCAAAGGCTGCTCCAGATACTCTGCTTCTTCACCAATGCTAGATCTTGACTCATGCTCATCAGGGGACGTGGAGCGCCTATGTTCAGATGTCGAAGAGGGCTCCAAATCATCCATTTCTTCATCTATGGTAGATTTCTGGTCATGGCCTTCAGGGGACACAGACCGTCTATGTTCAGAAGTCAAAGAGGACTCCAGGCCCTCTTCATCCACGGGAGATTTCAGCTCATGACCTTCCTGATATGAGGATGTGGAATGCCTACGTTCAGATATCAAAGAGGGCTCTAGATCCCCTGTTTCTTCACCAGGGCCAGATTTCACACTGTAGCCATCAGGGGACATGGAGCACCCACTTTCAGGCATTAAAGAAGGCATTGCATCATTCATTTTTTCAACTGGGATAGATTTCAAGTCACTATCATCAGGGGACATGGAGGCTCTATCGTTTAGCATCAAAGGTTCAAGACCACCTACTTTTCCAACAGTGGGGAATCTCAACTGCTGGCCATCAGGGGATGCTGCATGTTCATTTTCAGGTGTTGGAGGAAGCTCCTGCACATCTGCGTTTTGAACAGGGGTGAATCTTACCTCCTGCCTCTCGAAAGATAAAAGATGGTAATTTTCAGATGTCAAGGAAGAACCCACATCCTCTGTTTTCTCAGCATGAGTCAATCTTGATTCATACTCTTCAGGGGACAGAGCACGTTCATTTTCAGATGTCAGAGAAGGTTCCTTAGCCTCTAGTTTTCCAGCAGGGCTAGACTGCAGCTCCTGACCTTCAGGGGACATGGCACATTCACCTTCAGACATCAAAGACAACTCCTGCACCTCTGTTTTTCCAACAGTAGACTGCAACTCCTGGCTATCAGTGGACATTGAACTTTCACTTTCAGATGTTTCAGAAGGTTCCTCCATTTCTTCTTTTTCAACAGGACTGGATCTCAAATCATGGCCTTCAGGGGATACATCATACTCATTTTCAGACAGCAAAGCACACTCCTGCACCTCTGTTTTTTCAGTAAGAGTAGAGAGCAACTCCTGCCCTTCGGGGGATGCAGCATATTGACCGTCTGATATCAGTGAAGGCTCCTGCACCACTGTTTTTTCAGCAAGGGTAGACTGTAATCCTTGGCCTTCAGGGCAGATGGTATATTCACTGTCAGATGTCAGAGAAGGCTCCTGCACCTCTTTTTCAGCCGGGCTGGTTGTCATCTCCTGGCCCTCAGGAGATACAGCATATTCATTTTCAGACAGCAGAGAACTCTCCTGTACCTCTGTTTTTTCAGTAAGGGAAGACGGCAATTCGTGATCTTCAGAAGACACAGCATATTCGTTGTCAGGTACTTCAGAAGCCTCCTGCATCTCTACCTTTTCAGGAGAGCTAGATCTCAACTCCTGACCCTCCCAAGATACAGCATAATCATTTCCAGACATCAGAGCAGGCTCTTGCACTTCTATCTTTTCAACAGGGGGTGACTGCAACTCCTGGCTCTCAATGGACACTGAACATCTTTCTTCAGACATCCGATAAAGTTCCCGCATCGCTGTTTTTTCAGCAGGGGTTGATGTCAGCTCCGGGCCATCAAGCCCTATTGAGTATTCATTTTCAGACATTTGGGAAGGCTCCTCTACCTCAACTTTTTCAAAAGAGGTGGATGTCAACTCATGACCATCAGAGGAAACAGAACATCTGCTTTCCAGTATCAGAGGTGGCTCCTGCACCTGTATTTCTTTATCATAGGCAGATCTCAACTTGTGGCCATCAGGGGATGCAATGCATTTCAGTTCAGATGACTTTTGCACCTCTACTTTTTCATCAGGGACAGGTCTCAATTCATGACTATCAGGCAACAGGAAAAGTCCACCTTCAGATGTCAAAGAAGTCTCTGGGGCCTGTAGCTTTTCAGTAAGTGTGCTTACTGATTCACAAACATCAGCAGACTCGGAGAACTCACCTTCCAGTGGGACAGGAGGCTTCTGTATCTCCATTTTTTCAACTGCAGTGGATGTCAATTCATAGCCTTCAGGGAAGACAGAACACCTAAGCTCAGATGCCAATGACAGTTCTGCACCTTCTGTTTTCTCACAGTAATTGTGTTTTGATTTATGGCCATCATGGCACACAGGAATTCCACTTTTAGACATCAAGAAAGATCCTGCACCCTCTATTTTTCCAGCAGGCAGGTATCTCGATTCACGCACTTCAGAAGATTCAGAGCAGTCAATTTCAAGTACTTGTGAAAGTGTCGGACCGTCTAAATCTTTGTCTACAGATGATCTGGACTCATGACCTTCAGAAGACTTGCAGCTTTGTCCTACAGTTGTCAGTACAACTTCCCGCACTTTTTCAAAAGATGATGCCGAAATGAGGTCATCCGAGATCTCAACAGGACCACAATCAGATGTCAGGGAAACATCTGGAACCTTGACTTTTTCAACAGATAAAGATCTTTGTTCATTTCCATCAGGTGACTTGAAGGACCCACCTTCAGACATCAACGGAAGCTCCTCTATTTGTGCAGCAAAGCTGGATCCTGATTCATGTCCATCAGAAGACTTGAAGCATCCACTGTCAGAAGCCAGAGAAGGCTCCTGCAACTGGCCCTTTTCAATAGGCAAGGAGGCTGACTCACAGACATCTGGGAATGCAGAGCATGTAACTTCAGGTGCTAGCAAAGATTTTTGAGCCTCTACTGTTTCACAAGATAGTGACCTTGACTCAGGGCTGTCAGCCAACTTGGAAGATTCACTTTCAGGTACTTGCAAAAAGTTCTGAAGCTCTGTTTTTTCAGCCGGGATATGTCTCAATTCACGGCCATCAGACAAGTCAGAGAGTACACTTTCAGACATCAGAGAAGACCCCTGAACCTCCGTTTTTCCAGAGGATGAGGAGATTGTCTTGTAATCATCAGAAGATACAGAGCATCCACTTTCAAGTGTCAGAAGAGGCTCTGGACCCTCTATTTCTTTGAGAGAGGTAAATCTCGACTCATCTTCATGGGATGCGGAGAGCTGAAATTCTGTTATTGAAGAAGTTTCTGGATCTGCCCTTTTTTCAACAGATGAGGAACTTGACTTGGATGTGGAGTATGTAACTTCAGGTAGTGATGAAGACTCCAGAGCCACTGCTTTTTCAGCTGATCCATTTTCAGATGTCGCAGAAAGCTCCGAAACCTCTGTTTCTTCCACAGGCATGGATCTCAATTCCTGGTCATCTGGAGTTTTGGAGCTATCAAATTCAGACATGACAGAACACTGCAGACCCACTGTTTTTTCAACAGACGAGGAGCTTTTCTCTTGACTATCAAAAGTTTTGGAAAATCCACTTTCAGATGATGGTGGCAGCTCTGGGCCATTTATTCTTTCAACAGACAAAGCTACTGACATGGGACCATTAGAGGATTTGGAGCTGCCTTCACTTGCAAAAGAAGGTTCAGGAACTTCTGCTTTTTCAAGACATTTGGTTGCCTCCTGAAGTTCGGAAGACTCCACACGCTTGCTACTGCTCTTTACTGAGGATAACTTACTCTCTCTTTTTTCTATAGATTTGGACCTTGACTTAACACTATCAGAGGACTTGGAACGTTTCCGTTTGGATTTTTTTGAAGATTCCTTGCGCTTTTTTTCAACAGACCTAGACCGAGACTTGTAACGTTCAGAAGATTTTGAGCGGCGACGCTTAGATTTTCGCGAGGACTCCTTCTTTTTTTCCACTGATTTGGATCTAGACTTGTAACGGTCAGAGGACTTTGAGCGCTGACGTTTAGACTTCCGCGACGATTGCTTTCGATCTCTTTTTTCTACTGATCTGGATCTAGACTTGTAACGGTCAGAGGACTTTGAGCGCTGACGTTTAGACCTCCGCAGAGATGCCTTCCGACCTCTCTTCTCAACAGATCTTGACCGAGATTTTGAACGATCAGAGGAACCAGACCCTCTATGTCTGAACCTCCATGAGTATTCTTTGCCCCCTCTCTTTTCTGAAGACCTGGATCTAGATTTAGAACGGTCAGAAGACCTGGAACGTCTGCGGCGGGATCTCCAAGAGGACAACCTGCTCCCCCTCTTTTCCACTGACCGCGATTTAGACCTGTAGTGGTCAGACGACCTGGAACGTCTGCGCCCAGACCTTCGAGAGGACAGTCGCTTTTCCACTGACCTGGACTTAGATCTGTAGCGGTCAGAAGACCTGGAACGTCTGCGCCCAGACCTTCGAGAGGACAGTCGCTTTTCCACTGATAGCGGTCAGAAGACCTGGAACGTCTGCGCCCAGACCTTCGAGAGGACAGTCGCTTTTCCACTGACCTGGACTTAGATCTGTAGCGGTCAGAAGACCTGGAACGTCTGCGCCCGGACCTTCGAGAGGACAGACGCTTCTCCACTGACCTGGACTTAGATCTGTAGCGGTCAGAAGACCTGGAACGTCTACGTCTGGACCTTCGGGAGGACAGTCGCTTTTCTGCTGATCTGGATTTAGACCTGTAGTGGTCAGACGACCTGGAACGTCTATGTCTCGACCTCCCAGAGGACAATCTGCTCCCTCTCTTTTCTGCTGATCTGGATTTAGACCTGTAACGGTCAGACGACCTGGAACGTCTGCGCCTGGACCTCCGGGAAGACACTCTTCTCTCTCTCTTCTCCACAGATCGGGATCTAGATTTGGAATGCTTTTTTCTGGAATCTGAATAGTTTCTGCTCCTAGAACGTGCTCTTTTAGAGGTCAAACGCCTGGAAGTAGAACGCGACCTTGATTTTTTCTTCCGCTTCCTAGACCTGGACTGAGACTTGGAACGACTCCTTTTTTGTTTCTTTGCATCATGTTTTTTATCACTGCTTCTATGGCTACTTTTTTCAATAACTTTCTCAAGTCTCATCAGAGTCTCCCTCATTCGTGCCGCCACATCAGGTTGCACATCGGATGTTTCTGAATCTCTTTTCTCTGACTCCTGTTCTGGAGTCGCTTCTTTGACAGCCTCAGCTTGTGGAATGACTTCCGACTGGCTTGTCCCTGCCACAAGTACTGGAACTGCTTCTGTAACAGTCTCAGGTACTGGAGCTGCTTCCAAATCTTTTGTCTCTGCCTCCAACCCTACAGCTGCTTCTGCATCTTTCAGCTCTACAACAGTCTCAGGAAGAGGAGCTGTTTCCAAATCTTTTTTTTCTGCCACAGGAGCTGGAGCTGCTTCCAACTGGTTTGTGTCTCCGATTATTTCAGATTCAGGAGTCCCTGCTGAATCTTTTTCATCTGCTGCATGTGAAGAACTAAAAACTGTTTCTGCTATTAAAGGCTCAGATGCTCGAGTTTGCTCTGCATCTTTCTTCTCGACCGGTATCCCGCATTCCTGAGCTTGACTTGGAACTCTCACATCCTCCATTTGTTGACCCTGCACCCCTTCTGCATATTGTACTTCTGCTGCCACTTCATGTTCCAGTGTTGTTTCCAGATCCTTCATGTCCCCTGGTTTTGGAACTGCTTCAGAAGATTTCATTTCAGCAGCACTCAAGATTTCTGGAGTCTCTTCTGTACTCTGCCATTCTGCAGCAGGTTTTGCTTCTAGAACTGCTTGCACATGTTCTTGCTTTTCAGGGCGCAGAGATTCTGGAACAGCTTCTGAAGCATCCTCTAAAACATTCATCGCCCCCACACTTCCAGATTTTGCGGAAGTTTCCAAACCTTGGATATCCACGTGTACCTCAGGCTCTTCAACTGTTTCAGAACCTTTCACCCCTACTGTTGCAGACTCTTCCATACTTTCCAACAACCTCACTTCTCTAGCTTCTGATGCTGGCTCCAAATACTTTGCTTTCATTGCTTTCTCCGTTTCTGAAGCTTCTTCCAAATCTTCTACATTGGTAAGCGAGGGCTCACTTTTTTTTGTGCTTGTCCTCCTTGTTGCAATTATATATTCTACAGTAGGTCCCTGAGTTCTCACATCTGTCAAAATCTTAGATTCCAAAGTTCCTTTCAAGTTTCTCACTTCTGTCACTATTTCTGATGCCATAGTTTTTTCTTCCACTCTAGGAAAAGATTCTAATACTGCTTCTGAATGACCTTCTATTTGTTCCCATACAGATTCTGAACTTGTTTCTAAAGTTTGCACCGTCACTGTTTGCACAGGTTCTAGTATTCCTTCTTTACTCCTTGCCTTTGCTTTGTTTGGATCTTCTGGGGTAACTTCAGAATGCCTCATTTCACTAACCACCTCAGATGCCAATGTCCCTCCCAAGCCTTGTGTTAGTGTCCTTGTTTCAGATCCCACAACCATTTCCAAATTTTTCATCTGTCTTAAGTGTGAAGTTTTTGATCTCGCTTCCACATCTTTTACCTCTGCAACTGCCTCAACTTCCGGCAAGTTCTCTAAACCTCTCACTTCTACAGTGGCAGAACCGGTAGCTAGTTCAAAATCCTTTATCTCCCCTACCACCTCAGTTTGAGAGGTTCTTGTATGTGTCATGACCTGAAACTGTGAAATGATGGAACTCTTTGTTTTGCTTGCACCAAGAGGTTCTGCAACTGTTTCTGCATGTTTTGGTTCTCTTCAACTTCCGGCAAGTTCTCTAAACCTCTCACTTCTACAGTGGCAGAACCGGTAGCTAGTTCAAAATCCTTTATCTCCCCTACCACCTCAGTTTGAGAGGTTCTTGTATGTGTCATGACCTGAAACTGTGAAATGATGGAACTCTTTGTTTTGCTTGCACCAAGAGGTTCTGCAACTGTTTCTGCATGTTTTGGTTCTCTCTCTGCTGTGGTTTTCAAATGCATTGCCTCGGACTCTCTAACTGGTTCTATGCTTACACGTGCAACCACAGGTTCAGGAGTCCTTTCTGACCTTTCTTCTAAAGCAAGAAGTCCTGGACTTGCTTCCAAGACTTTGCTACCCATTTTGGCTTCAGAACACACATTTTCTCCTAAGCCCCTTGCCACTGCAAGGGTTCCAGGCTGCAAGACTGCTTCCAAAGCTTGTATCTTTGCCATACCTACAGACACTGGATCGCCTAAATCTCTCAGACCTTTCACGTGCAGGTGTGATGAAGATGTCTTCATCTCTGCCCCGGCTCTGTCAAGGTCTGCTTCTGAATCTTTCCTTTCTGTCTCTGCTACAGGTCCTATAGTTGTTTCCAAACTTTTTCCTGGTCTCACAGATCCGACTTTCATAGCTAGGAGACTGACATCTGAGCCTGCTTCTACTCCTGCCATACTATCTAGATTTATTTCTGAACCTTTTGACACTGCTGTTGAATCTAGTGTTGCTGCTAAACCTCTGGCCACAGTCCCACAATGCACAGCTTCTTCTGAAGCTTTCACACCTTCCATCTGCAAAGACAGCGAGGCTGTTTCCAAAGTTTTTGCTTCCACCACAGCCATTGGTCTTAGGACTCCTCCTGGACCTTTCACGTCTTCTTTCTGCAAAGACAGGGGAGTTGCTTCCAAACCTCTCACATTTGATTCACTCTCAGATCTTGATTCTCTCAGCTCCTCCGGTTGTCTCAGTAACGAAGAACCTTCCGAATCTTTTGCCTCTGTTACAGCTACAGGCTTGAGAGTAAATTGTGAAATTTTTGAAGCATTAGTATTTTCCAGTTGCAGAGTAGCTTGACTTGTTTCTTGACCTTTTACTCCTGTTAGCACTGCAACTTCCACGGTTGCTCGTGGACCTTTAAAAAGGTCCGCCATCTGGATTTCTGGAGTTGTTTGGGGAACGAAGGTCTGCACAACTGCTACGGGTTCTGAAGTTGCTCTTAAACATTTTGCCTCTGCAACCACATTCACATCTGTCAATTCTGCTGGAAGTGCAGATTCCTGGGTTCTTGTTTCTGTCAAGACTTTAGGTTGTAGGAACACTCCTGATGCATTCAGCACTGTTGCAGGATCCATGGTACCTTCCATATCTTTAACTACTTCAACTTGCAGACATTCTCGAGCTGCTTTGACATCTTTTGCTATAACACCCGCAGGTTCCAGGATTGTTTCCAAAGTTTTGGGCTTTACTACAGCAATTGGCTGCAGAGCTTCTTCCAAAGCTTTCACGTCTTCCACATGCGCAGAACTTCTAGCTGGTTCAGTATCCTTCACTTTTGTAACAGCTCCTGGTCCCAGGGGTGTTTTGGCACTTGTTATTTCCACCTGGGTCACAGAAGTTGCTGCAGGTATTTTAAAAGGATGTTGCAAAGATACATCTGCCTTCAAGACACTTGAACCCTCCATAGGGCTGCACTGCGTCACTCTCAAATTATCAGGTAGAATTGAGGGCTTCAGGGCTGGCTCCAAAGTTCTGCTCACACCCCCTAATTCCAAAGATCTTTCCACATTTTTCACATTTCCCATATGCAGAGATTTTTCTGTTGCTTCTGGAATTTTCACTTCTTCCACGGCCACAGACATGTGAGTTACCTTCACAGTATTCAGATCTGCCTGATTTGCAGATTTAGGAATTGTTGCCACATCACTTGCCAAAGACACAGATTCTGAAGTTGCTTCTAACTCTTTTGCTCCCTCCTGTGCCACAGATTGTAGAGATGCTTCTGAATATTTCAACACCTCCATGGTCTCAGACTCAAGAGCTGTACCCAAAGCTTTTACTTCCCCAGTGCCTTTAGATTTCAGAATAACTTCTGAACCTTTTAGTGCTTCTATTACCTCTGAAGCTAAAGCTGCTGCTGAATCTTTCTGAATTTCAGATTTATTGGCAACTCCAGATGGGATGCTAGATGAAGTCTCATTTCCAGTATCAACAAGAACACCCTTTTCAGTCACATTAATAGCTATAGGATAAATATTTTCTTGAGCCTGTTTAATTTGTTCTGCTCTAGTGCAAATTTTAGTTTGAGTCATAGTAGCACTTTCTTGGATATCAGATTGGCTGCCTTCTAAATTAAATGGAGGATTTGTTGCACACAAAGTCCCCTTCTCACTTCCAAGATTTTCTGTAGATTGCTGAGAATCAGTTCTTGAATGAGAAACAAGTCCTAAAGCTTGTCTATCAGGCTCCTCACTTGCTGTTAAGCACAGTTCTTCTGGCTGCATGTGGACAGCCAGATTTGCATCTCCAAATCCTCCATGCTGTACACTCAATTTGGAGCTTGATTTCTCTGGCATCAAGTGAGAAGCAGGCTGCAAGTCTGCATGTTCTCCATGACGTGTGCTCAGCTTTGACTCCTTTGGCTGCTTTTTATGCTTTTTCTCTTTCTTCCTTTTCTTCTTCTTTTTCTTCTTCTTCTTGCTTTTGTGTTTCTTGTTCTTCTTTGATTTTTTCCTAGGAATTTCATCTTGAGCAGTAGAGCTTCTTTTTGTAGACTGAGTACTATTTTTCACAGTATTTTTGTCTACATCTAGAAAAAAATGATATTTTCCTTGTAAATGTTATTAAAACTACATTTCAAAGATTTTTTTTTAGACTAGTGACCAAGTACATGGACAGAAGTACAAAAAATTTAAACTTGAAACCCATGCCTTCTTCACTAAACTACCATACACAAATAGCACAGACTTCCTTTTCAGCCCTCTTACGCTTCATCTCAGGAGTCACTTTAAGTAAAAATAACTAATTCTTCTTTCAAAAAGTTAACCAAATCTTCTTGGTCAGCAACACAGTTCCAGTGGGAACATGACTCTTTCCAAGAACTAGTTGGATATACTTCCACATATATTCAACTGGGCAGTGCACTCTTCCAGGAGGCTGGAGATGTGCTTTTAAACTACACCAAGCTGCACATGGAAGTGAAACAAGAACTCCCATTTTCCAGACAAATTATCTAAGTGGTGGTATGCTTATTGTATAAAATGTGGCCGACCCATTATCCCCTACTATGCTTTAACTTAAGTTACTAGTGTGTTAGAAATTATCTAAGCATATTTACCGACTAAGTTCCTCACTGGCTAAGTTCTTCAAACAAATCTGGGGAAACAGCACCTACTTCCCCAATCCCGAACAAGCTTCAAGGCATTGCAGGCAACCAGCTGCTCAGACTGGACTGCAGTTGCCACAAGCAACTGCAAAACTCCAAGTATCTAATGGAGCTTTTGCTTCAAACAGGAAAGTAACTAATAAATTCAGGTGACTGCAGGGACAATAAATCACTGAGGGGGAAAGAAAAGAGGGAGACTGAAATTTCAATCACCTTCTTTTAATTCTATACCTCATTTTCCTCTGAATTTAACCTGTATTAGGCTCTTGCCTTTCTTTGGATCTAGTGCCATGTTTTCATGAAGAAAGCACTTCTATTGAAGGCAACTTGTTATAATTTCTATTAAATACGAGCTATATATTCAAGTCTGCCTGTATGTTACCTTCAATGATTGTATTTATACCGGCCAGTGCAGCAATATGGATTTTCCAATTATAATCTGGCTGTGATTACAAAGCATACTCTTTCAAGTGAGCAATGCAAAATCATTCAAAAACTGTTGGTAATTGCGATACTATTAAATGAACATGACTTAAGATTCCATAAACAAGTATCTCAAGAAGTTTTAAGCACACACATTTTTACGGAATAAACAGCTTAACAAAAAATAGTGTTTCCACCAACATTGTTGTGAATGCAATGAAAGAGGACAATGAAGCAGAGTCAAATGTCCTTTTCTACACATCATTTTCATATAATCTCTGCTGTCCAAAACCAATATAACTCCTTTCCAGATATGAACAGTGGGAACGTTTACCGTAAGTTAAGTTTATTAACTTTCCAGGTAATAGGTCTCACTTGTTTATTACCATGTTAGCTTGCCTCATTCTTCCAAGACAGAAGAACGAAAATACAAAAAGGAAAAAACCCAGATGCCAGCCTGAAGTGCTGCTTGTACAGTGAAAGACTGTTGAAAATGCTCAAGGTAAACAAGCCACTGTGCATAAAAGAAAGAAAAAGCAATTCCAACACCTTGCAAACAGAATCTCTGAAATAAACAATTTTCTACACTGCCTCTTAAAAAAAAAAAAAAAATCACTCTGGAACCATACTTACCAAACACATAGCAGTCACCTACGATTCAACTCCAAAAAATCAGAAATGCAGTAATTAGAGTCCTCATCTCACTAACTCTCCTGATTCAGACATTTTACAGAAAGGACTAGTCCCATGAGAAGGAATACTCATATGTAACATTTTGGCATAATAAATCCAGTAATTTATTGAAGTTACGAGATTTCTCCATAAAAATTTCTTAACCTTTGGAAGATTGCACTCTGAGTATCTACATTTTAAAGGTAAGTGCATTATTCATTTTAAAACAACAAAGCATCTTACTCTGACAGAACAATTAATCATACAGTTCTGAATTCTAATAAATGATTTTTAGAAATAATCTTGCAAACCAATCCAAAACAACACAATAATGCTTCTATCCATCAGTACTAGCTTTGTTAGTAAGAACTGCTCATTAAGACCCTGAAGTAGGTATATACAAAATAAAGCATAATTATATAGAGAGAGACATTACTTATACGTTTTAGCATTATTGTAATGGAGAGAAAAGAAAAATATATAAATAAAATTTTGCACACTAAGTAATGCTTTCGTAGAATAACCTGCTTCAATTTTTAAATTATGTATTTCTCTGTCCATCTATGGTTGTAAATCACAAGTAGACAAAAAAAATACTTAACAAACATTACAATAAACATACAACTTTTCAGATGAAGCTCGATGAGCTTCTAAAGTACTGAAACGTACTTTTTCATCTCTGTAAAATTGATTCAATTTTAAGCACTATGACAACCTTCTTAAACAAGAATATATTTGCCAAATGTGTTTTCATTTACCTGATTTGCACTGCAGCTCTGTATCAAGGGCTCCAGAGAGCACTTCCTCTATTTTCTGCACTATCTGATCATTCTGACGACTCCCAGCACCAGCAACAGTGTCATCTGAAGGGTTGGCTTGCTCAGCTGGGATTGTGTCACCATTGGGCTGGCCTTCTACCTTTCCACTAACCAAAAAAAATATCAACATAATACAAGCAATTTTGAGCCTTTTTGACCTTTTTTTTTAATTCATAAGCATTTATTATACTCAACCCTTCAAAACAGTATTTTAGCCTCCTGAAGAAGCCATGCTTTTAGTGAAACATCTGCCTTTTGATTAACTTTCCCTTATTCAGAACAGAACACGTTGTGACAACTGAGTATTAGGCACAAGGCAGGAAAACATGTTCTCAAACATGCCACAGTCTCCGTGCTTTATATAAGAACTTGTACAGGCTCCCCTCACACAATAAGCACCCATCACTCACTCTTCTCCAGCAGATTTTGCTTACTTTGCGAGATAAGGCTGGGGAAAACTAGGCGAGCTTAAATGTGCTAAGACCAGTGAGACAAATCGCACAGACGCTCGCCCCTTCCCCTCTTGCCCCGACACCAGAGACCAATACCGAAAACCCGTAAGCGAAAACGGGTGCGCATTCACCAGGAGACAACGCGTGCGTCCGCCCGCCCTTCCCCCCGCCC